CTCTGCCTCAAGTTCCCCGCACCCACCGGCATCGGCTATTCGAAGGGGAATCAAAAACTCTCCAGGGCATGCTACCTTCAACTTACCAAGAAGGTTAGTAAAACGGAGTTTCGTGTGGACACCATCACCACCAAGGCCTTGGAGGAAGAAGAAGGCAGGCCGAGGGCTGAGCCTGCCGAGGAGACCGAAGACTTGATACTCGATCCGGCCAAGCCGGAGAGAGTCCTGAAGATTGGAGCCAAGCTCCCCGAAGACTTGAAGGCTAGCATCACCGAAGCCCTCCGCGCCTACTCCATTGTTTTTGCATGGGGGCCGGAGGATATGCCAGGAATTGACCGAAGGGTTATCACCCACCGCCTAGCGGTGGACCCTTCGGCCAAACTAGTGCAACAACGAAGAAGACCCCTCTCGGCCGAGAGAAGGGAGTTCGTGAAGAAGGAGGTATCTATGCTCCTCTCCATCAGACACATAAAGGAGGTGAAATACCCTTCTTGGTTAGCGAACGTAGTCCTCGCACAAAAGCCTCCTACTTTCCGCATGTGCGTGGATTACACAGATCTGAATAAGGCATGCCCTATGGACCCCTTCCCTCTGCCAAACATTGACCAATTAGTGGATGAGACCGCGGGATGCGAGATCATGTCATTCCTCGACGCATTCCGCGGATATCATCAAATCTACATGCATGAGGAGGACGCTGAAAAAACTGCCTTCATGACACCCGAAGGCATCTTCTGCTATCTTGTGATGGCCTTCGATCTAAAAAATTCAGGCGCCACCTACACGCGCATGGTGGCTAGGGTTTTTCAAGCTGTCCTAGGACGCACCATGGAGGCTTACGTTGACGACATGATCGTCAAAAGCAAAAAGGCAAGCACTCACGCCGACGACCTACGGGAAATCTTTGCCATCATGCAAAAATTCAATCTCCGACTAAATTCAAAGAAATGCACCTTCGGCGTGCAAGGGGGGAAGTTCTTAGGCTACATGGTCAGCCGAAGGGGTATTGAGGCCAACCCCGAGAAGATTCAGGCCATCATCAACATGGAGCCTCCACGCAACGTCAAAGAAGTTCAACGGCTGACGGGTCGCCTGGCGGCCCTCAACCGATTCCTCTCTAAGTCAGCCGAGAGGGCCCTCCCCTTCTTCCAAATCATGAGGAAGACGGCGGGTTTTCAATGGACGTCTGAATGTCAAGAGGCCTTCGACGAACTCAAGAAGTACCTCTCCTCTCCCCCAGTGCTCTCCAAACCAAAGGTGGGGGAGACTTTATACTTGTATCTCGGCGTTAGCCCTGCGGCCGTCAGTTCAGTGCTAATCCGAGAAGAAGACGGCGTCCAACATGCCATCTTCTATGTCAGTAAAACCCTCCGGGAGGCTGAACTCAGGTATTCTCCCGTCGAGAAGACGGTGCTAGCCATCGTTTGGACCGTCAAGAAGCTTGGCCACTACTTTCAAGCTCATCCAGTCCAGGTGCTCACTCATGAACCCCTCGGCGCCCTCATGAGGAGTCCCACTAGCTCCTCCCGGATGGTAAAATGGGCCATCTTCCTCAGCCAATACAACATAGACATCCGTCCGAGGCCTGCCATCAAGGGCCAAGCCCTGGCAGACTTCGTAACGGAGTGCACCGCAAGATCAGCGGTGGATGAGGAGCCTTCGGCACCCCTTGATGAGTGGTGGACCCTCTATACCGACGGCTCCTCGGCTACCAAAGCATGCGGAGGGGGAGTAGTTCTCATCACACCCGAGGGCTTCCGCGCCTATTATGCCATCCGCTTCTCCTTCAAAGTCTCCAACAACGAGGCCGAGTACGAAGCCCTCCTCTGTGGCCTTCGGCTGGCAGCAAATCTGAAGGCTAAAATGATCCACGTCAAGTGTGACTCCAAACTCGTCGTGGGTCAAATTTCCGGGGAGTACGAAGCCAAAGAAGGGAGGATGAAACAATACAAGGAGGCCGCCAAGGAGTTGCTTAAGGTATTTGAGGCACATTCTCTTACCCAAATACCGAGGGCTCAAAATTCTGAGGCCGACATTCTATCCAAGCTCTCGGATGAATCCCCCGAGCACCTCTCGAAGATCGCGAGAATTGAGGAACTCAGCCTCTCAAGTATCCACGCAAGCCCCGTCATGAGCATTAACCTAAGGCCGGAGGATTGGATCTCCGACATCGTCACCTTCATCACCACGGGGCAACTACCCCAGGACAAAGCCCGCGCCAAGTTAGCTAAGCTGAGGGCTCCCAGCTACACCATCGAAAACGGGAGGCTTTACAAGAGATCTTACAACGGCACCCTCCTTCGGTGCCTTCATCATGATGAGGCCGAAGTCGCCATGGAGGAAGTGCACAGTGGCACTTGCTCAGCTCACCAAGGACCCTTCTCCATGTCCCGAAGGCTCATAGTTCAGGGCTACTTCTGGCCAACGATGGCTAGAGATTGTGCTGATCTGGCCCGAAGGTGCACCGCTTGCCAACACTTTCAGAAGGCCCCCGGCAGACCAGCAGTCAACTATGCTCCCATCAGCACCGCTATACCCTTCTCCAGATGGGGTATTGACTTAATAGGCCCTCTGCCGAGGGGTACCTCCAACAACAGGTATATCATTGTGGTCATTGACTACTTCACCAAATGGGTAGAGGCCGAACCCCTCGCCAGCATCACTGAGGCCCGGTGCCCCCACTTTGTTCTCAAAAATATTCTCACAAGGTTTGGCGTCCCCCAACAAATTATCTCCGACAACGGGACTCAGTTCGAGGCAGCCCCCTTCTGTGCCCTCCTTGAGGCTTGGGGCATCAAGCACACATTCTCTTCCGTTGCCTACCCTCAGGGCAACGGACAAGTAGAAAATGCCAACCGCACCCTCCTCGAAGGGTTGAAGAAGAAGCTGGAAGCCGAAGGGGAGGCTGGGTAGAAGAGCTCCACAACATCTTATGGGCCTATCGCACAACCCCTCGGCGCGCAACAGGCGAGACACCCTTCTCCCTGTGCTATGGCTTCGAGGCTAAGGCGCCCACAGAGGTTACCCTTCCTACCCGAAGGGTGGAACAATATGAACCCGAGGTTAACGACGCCAACATGGCTCTCGACCTTCACCTCATCTCAGAACGCCGAGAGCAAGCTTTCCTCAGGGCCGAAAACTATAGGAGACAAGTCAAAGGCTACATCGACGCCAAGGTCCGCTCCCGGGAATTCCAGGTGGGAGACTACGTCCTCCGACGAAGGGAGGCCAGTCTACCCACCGAAGGAGGAAAGATGGCGCCCAAGTTTGAAGGCCCCTACATCATCTCAGCCATCATCAAACCAGGGACGTACAAGCTTAAACGTCCCAATGGGACGGAGGTCCCTAGACATTGGAATGTGCACCACCTTGTCAAATTCTATCAATAAGGCATGAGCGGCCAAGCCCTCATCCTCAGCAAGTGTAAATATCAATGGCCCAAGGCCCCATCTGTTTTTGAAGAATAATCACGAGGCCAAGCCTTCATCACCTACATATTGTACAAACGGCCCAAGGCCCCCTTCTCTCCTACACATGAGTGGCCAAGCCCTCATCTCTCCACCAAAATAGGCCCAAGGCCTCTCCCTCTAATGAGAGGGAACAACAATTTAGGTACCAAGTACCAAATGTATGGGTCACCCCCATCACTTTTTGAAAACACCAAGTGTTTTCTCACTAAGCCGTACCCCACGAGGACGCAATCATGCATACATTATGCATACTTATACATATTCTATCCTCCTAAAAAAAAAAAGACCGGGGGGTGCAACACCCCTCGGCTCCGGCTGGTACCAAGTGCCCCCGGCTATTTGTGTTCCACACGCAAATAAAACCCTTCCCAGGAACGCTTTCCGCGCCATCCCCCAAGGGGAGGCAGGCAACGGACCATGTCCCGGGCCCAGGATTCGACTTCCACAAACGAAACGCTCCCCGCGCTATCCCCCAAGGGGAAGCAGGCAACAGACCATGTCTCGGGCTGAGGGGACGACTTTCAAAACCGAGGCGCTTTCCGTGCTATCTCTCAAGGGGAAGCAGGCAACAGACGATGTCTCGGGCCGAGGAAACGACCCTCAAACCCTTCGGGATATCGGAAGGTCATTCCCGAAGGGGGAGCCAACGGTTTGCTCCGTTGCCTCCCATATAGGCCAAGCCTTTCCTAGAAACCAAGTTTCTAGATGCCTCTCCTACACCATCTAAAAAAAAAAAAAAAAAAAAAAAAAAAAAAGATGTGTGGGGGGGAAGGAACTCCCCGGATACTATTCTCCCCGGAGGCTCGACACTTCGGATATATGTTCCCGAAGGCTCCTACAGAGGCACAAGAAAATCTCTCAACAACAAGTCATCTGGCTACATAGCCGAAGGCTCCACTACATAAAGCCTTGGAGTACAACAGTTCCCCTGGAAGTCCTAAATCTGGCTGAATCAAATACAACTAGATTCCATGTCGAAGGCTGCACAAAGTTCTAAGACAAGCTAAGTTTATATCTGCACAAACCCGGGGGTTTATGCCGAGGGCAGAAAGCTACCGAACTCACTTAATGGTGAAAAATCTCATAAGTCCACGAACGGGAACCCCTCGGTGGGCCAACACGGACTTCGCTGCTACCGACGGGCTTAGAGCCGAAGGCAACCTCAAACTACGTCGAGGGCCTACGGTGATATTAGCTTGGAAAATCTCCTAAGTCTAATTCCTCCTCGCCCTCGGTCTCACTACTGCAAACATCCGAGTGGTCCTGATCCTACACTGCGACCGGAGGCTCATGACAAAGTTTTCACTTAAAAAAATTCTAAGTCCACAACCACAGGCCCCCGGTGATTCTACACTACATCCGAGGAATTCTGATTAAGTTTTACTCAGACGACTTCTGACAACTTCTTCACTGAGAAAAGTTTCTAAGTCCACAAGCTTATGGCCCTCTGGCAAACGCGAGGAAGAAGGGGAAAACATACATTCATTCAAACAAAGGTGGACAGTAAAATAAAAGCGAAGATATTCATTCCAAGAAGCCCGGAGGCAAAGCATTCACCATTGAGAAAGAAATATTCAAAGTGACGGAAGGTGTTTCTTTACATACACAGGCCGAAGCCGGAAGCTATCATGTCTATTACATCAAGGGTGTTACAAAACAATACTAAGTGTCAGCTGCTGAGGCCTTCATCCTTCGGCTTCGAGGTTACATCATCCTCGGCATCTTCATCATCATCTGAGGCCAGCCCGTCAAGCTCTGAATCCTCCAGCAGCTGTCTCTCCTTGCCCTCGGGAAGGGGGATCCTGATGTCTGGAACTAACAGAGGGAAGCCATGGGTCTCAGGCTTAAATTCTTTTGGGTCCATGCCAAGGTGCCGGGCCAGCCTCCGGTATAGCATGGCCTGGGTGAAGTATTGGCCCCCCTCATAAAAGGACTTGCCCTTACGGGCTAGCCACATGGCCCCGGGACCTTTCACCCATTCTTCAACAAGCTCCGGCACGACCGAGGCCATCCACTCCTGGTGGCTCTCAGTCCTCCAGCCCCCAGCCTTGAAGGCATCGATGGCACCCTTCGCCGCGTCAGCTACCGCCTCCCTCTTGGCAACATCGGCAGCATCGGCGGCGGTCTTGGCAGCCTCAACGGCAATCCTCTCCGCTTCTGCCTTGCCCTCGACCCAAGCTTCCTGCCTCGCAGCCTCCAACTTCTGCTCAGCCTGCCGGAGGGTCTCTTCTAAGGCAGCCAGCTGCCTGATGGCCTCGGTGTTATTTGCGATAAGTTTCCGCATGGCCTCGTCAGACTTCGCCTTCTCAACCCGGTGCTGTTCCGCCCTCCGGACGAGCTCCCCGAAGGCAACACTAGCCTGCAAACAAATAAAAAGGCACTCAAGATCAGGTTACACGAAAGAGAGAAACACTAGGACAAAAATCATCAAGGACCTGGACACTTACAGTAGCCGAGGCCTGGAGAGCCTTGAGCTCGAGGGTTTCGTCCCCAAACCGGCTGAGAGTAGACCGATCCAGAGGGGGGGTGGCACCTCTCAGAAACTCCCTCGGATCGAGGGTGCCATGCATAAGGGCAGTCCCCTTCTTGATGGGGAACTGCACGGTCTCTAAGGGCCAGGCGCCCTCGTCAAAATCATCCAGCGGAGCGAAGGCCGATGGCTGGCTGGCGGGGGGGTCGTCAATGATCACTACCGGGGGAGCCTTCTGACCGACATCCCCCTTTGACTTCTTCTTCTCCGGAGGCTTTATGCCCTTCCCGGCATTCTTTCTCTTCAGCTCCCCCGCCTGGGAGCCTCCAGCACCGGTGCCGGCATCAGCGGCTACAACCTCCTGGGAGGGTCCCTGGCCCTCGGGAGCCTTGTCCTTTTTGAAAAAGGAATCGACGGGTGCTTGGGTTGAAGGCCCCTCCTTCTTCTTCTTCTTTTCATCCTTCGCCAGTTGCTTGGATAACTTCGCAAATGCCTTGGGGTCCATGATGTCACCTGCAAAAGGCAAGAAGAATTAGAATCAGAGTGATGCTAAAAACAAAAAAAAAAACAAAAAAAAAAAATTCTAAGTACTGAAGAAGAGATCCCTCGGCAACAACCTCCGGCATTTTGGTACCCTCGGTTAATCAAAGGATACTCCTCTTCCTTCTCTCCCTCCAGCCGGAACCGACGGAAGGACAATCGATAAAGCTCTTCTGGGAGGGTTGCAGCTTTTATGGTTATCAGCTTATCGGAGCCTGCAGGTTTAGCCTTCAGCTTCTTCCCTGCCGCCTCCAGAGCAGCACTCCCTACTTTCAGATGCCTCCGAAAGTGATTGCGGAGAGGCCTCGGGAATCCATTCCCCGGCATCCTAACATAGCAGAATCGGTCCCTCCACAATTTGTGAGATGAGGGCACCTCCGAGAACAGCCTCCACGCTGGCACCTGTTGAAGGTTGGCGAATCCCTCGCTGTTGGCGGCTCCCCCCCGGCAGAGATTAAACGACATGAAGAACTGCTCCAGAGAAGGCTCCACCCCCCGACTCCGGCACAACGAGAGGAACCCGGCGATATAAGAGTGGCTATTGGGGGTCAGTTGGCAGGGAGCCAACCCTAGGAACTTGAGGTACTCCAGTAAAAACGGATGGAGTGGGAACCGGAGGCCCAACTCCACCGAGAGCACGTGCACTGCAAAACAACCTTCGGGGGGGCTGGATAACAGGTCTTCCGGGCCCGGCTCCACCACTTGGGCCGAAGGCCCCACCAGTATCTGCGTGGCCTGACAATCAGAGGGCGTGGCCGTCGTCTTCAAGTCGAGGGCGGCGGTGTTTAGAGCTGTCAAACGGGCCAACCCGCCCCGACCCGCCCCGACCCGCGGCGGGTTATGAGTTTCACGGGTCGGGGCGGGCCAACCCGCTTACTATCGGACCAGAATTTTTATGACCCTAACCCGACCCACCTAACCCACGAGTTATGCGGGCCAGCCCGCGGGCCATAAATGTCAAAACAAAAAAAATTAAATATCTAAATTAAAATCCAAACACAATTGTAATAGCAATTAAATATCTAAATTAAAATCCAAACACAATTAAAAAGGAAAAAATTAGTGCTTGAAAATCCTTTGGTTGTATGTTTGAATGTATCATCGGGGGTAAGTGGTATACTTAAAAAGTTAAAAGATGAAATACTTACAAGCTTTAATGTATTATTGTGGGTATACTTAAGCTGAAATACCGCAAATACCTAATTTCTCATTTATTTAGCCTGATTTGGATATCATGAATAAAACAGCATAGAAGTCCTTATGTTATAAAACAATATAGCAATGAATACATTAAAAATACATTTATTTAGTCTAATTTGGATATCATGAACAAAATACATTAGTATTAGAAGTGAGGAAAGAACTAGAAGTAAAGAGAGAGTATAATAGAAGATATAATTGTCTTATATAGAAATAATATAATTAAAAATACATGGAATAAATTATATTTGTCCTCAGCCCGCGGGTTGGCCCGCAACCCGTACGGGTTGGCCCGCTAAACCCGCAACCCGTTAGGGTTGACCCACTGAGCCCGCAAAACAATCGGGCCTGAAAATGATAACCCTAACCCACTTATAAGTGGGTTGAAACGGGCCAACCCGCGGGTTTCGGCCCGTTTTGACGGCTCTAGCGGTGTTGAGGTATGAGTGACCCTCGGGGATCCCCACTGGTTGCCCCGAGTCAACAGCAGCCTTCTTCTTCTTCCTGGAAGGTCCCTCGACGTTCCGCTGCCTCCTCTTCTTGCCCGAAGCTACCCGGAGGGGGGCAACGTCAATCGGCCGGGAGCTACTCGCTTCACCAGCATTTCGCGAAGGCAGAACAGCAACCGTGACTTGTTGCCTCTCCTTCTCTTCTTCTTCCTCTGCTACCTGAAGCGCGAGGGTCATCTCTTCGTCCTCAGCCACTTGCTCAAACTCCTCCGCCTCGAGCTCCACCCGAAGAGTACTCTGCACCTCTTGGGCCATTGCCAGGTCATCACCAGCTGATGACGACTGCCCGCTGGAGGACTCCACATCTGAAAGACTCTCAGATTGAACCGGGACCTCCTCCGATACGTTTTGCGAGTCGCTCTCAGAGGACATGATTAGAAGGGGTTGAAGATGTCGAAAGAAGGGGGCTATTCGACAATTCTGGCCGAAGGCTGCTAAGGTCACTAAACACTAAATCTAAGAAACTGGCAAAGTATGCTGAGAAAATCAAAGGGCTAAGGAAATACTGACCTCAAAGGTTGGTTTTGATCGAAGGGGTTACTTTCTCTCTCTAGAAAAATTGGCAGAGCTCCGCTATGACTCAGAAACGCACAAGAGGAAATGGCTTTAGCAAGGGGTATTTATAGGCTTATGTCCTCGAAATATGGGCCTCGATTTGAAAATCCCATCATTGCGGACCGCCGGTTCGACCAATGGATGGCTCCCGCCCACCTTCGACCAACGACAGCCGGCCACGTCAACCCCTCTTCCAACGGCTATATTGTAACGGCTGTATTTCACAAACACCGGAGTGCCCTCGAATGATGGCCTCCGGCTATCACTCACCACAGCCTTCAGCCAATGAATTCCAACATAGCGCCTTCGAGCTAGCAGCAATAAGAGCCTTCACTTGTCAATGTTGCCACTCCTCGACGCGTATATTGGATGGTAGCCACCACCTGCGAGAGGCTTCGAGCAGATACTGGTATATGCTTTCGGCTAACCCCTCGGGGAACCCAACAACACATTATAACTCCTTCAGCCCGAACTCGCCTTCGGCCTAAAGGAGTGGGGGACTGGGACACACCCCACGGGAATCACACTTGCGGAAATGAAGCAGACCTCGTCACAACACATGCAGGCAATACATCTATGCTTTCCTCAGAAAGCCCTCGACATGTGAGGGACTGAGGGGAGCCCCCGGCGAACATGCGAAGGTTATGAATACCTTCTCTCAGAAAACCCTCGACATGTGAGGGACTGAGGGAAGCCTTTGGCAATCAGCAGAAGACAAGTTCCCCAACAAAGGCACCCAGCGAAATGATGAAGCCTCCAGAAGAATCAACACATCTACTCCTTTTCCCTCAAGTACCTTTCGGCAAAAGGAGTGAGGGACTCCTGATGGAGTATATGGCCCAGGAACCCCCGGCCCATAGACTCCTACTTCTCCCGCACAAGTCCATTAAGCCCAGAGAACAACTCAGGCCCAAGTGTAACGGCCCAAACCTCGAAATAGCTCGGAATACACACTGGGATGCCTTCGGCCTCCTTGGCCGAAGGCTCTAGAACTCACAGGATAGCTTTTTCGGCATAAGAAGCTGCTGGGAGAAAACGGGCGAAAACATGAGCCTTCGGCATTTTCATGCCCTCGGCATCAGAAAAGCCTTCGGCTGAACCAGGCCTTCGGTCACACGGGGCCTTCGGCCATACAAGGGTCCTCACCACACGGAGCCCTCGGCTACACAAAGAGCCCTCGGCTACACAAGGAGCCCTCGGCTGAACTAGCTCAATCATCGAAGATTCCTTTTAGGGACAGCCAACCACCGCATTTAATGCCACGTCACATCCGCCAACCGCATTCAATGCGGTTGACGTACCACTGCCGGTGCCACCAGGCTAATGTGACCCTTCGGCCGTTGGATTGCTGACACGTGTCCTCTCATCGCATTTATTGCTGCTATAAATAGCAGCCCATTTCCCCTTGTAAATCATGATCTACATCCCAACTCCACATCTCGAGTTCATTTAATAAAATCGACTCTCTCTCCTCCTATTTGCTCTGACTTCTCTCTAAGTTATTCCCTCAATAACCCCTCGGATACGATACCCCCCGGGTAGACCATCCATCACTCTGTTTATGTATCATGGTTATTTGGTGAATGCATTAAGGAGTCTCCATCCTGAAATTGCTCGAAGAGAATCCCATTGTCCGTCGATCTAATGATGAGTCCCAACCATAAGTCAAATCAGTGGCGGAACCAGCTCGGGGACTCTGGAGGGGCACTAAATGGGAAAGTACAGTTCTCCGAAATATGTCGCATCCACCATCTAGAATATACTACATATATATTTTATTCTAGGATATAATATCTTGAAAAGTAAATTGGGAAATCACACTTGTAATTACATACCAGATCAAATGATATTTTTTATGAAACCAAAAAGAAAGAAATTAAATATGATAAGCCGATTTGACGAGAAAGCTATGATAGCAAAATTGTGATTCCTACCCGTGCACTAGAGAGCTTAATGAATTTGAATACATCTATTTAAAGTCAATTTAAATTAATTTAGAGTTTAAAAAAGACACAAGTAAAGCAAAATATAAAAAAGTTGAGCTGGGATTTGATCACTAGACTTTTCGTAATCCAAGAACCAGGGGTGGACTTACCCTATGTGGTAGTATTAGGCAATTGAAACTCTTCTACTAATACAGGTCAGAGGATCGACTCACCGTGGTGCTACATGTTAGTTTTGTTTTTAAGTGCTTCCCTTACCTTCTTGAAATGGCTAATGTGGTCATGTGTTTTCTACTTTTGTTGCAATTTTTTACGGGGTATTATGGGCCGTACGGGATGTTGCCATGATGGATTTGAGGTCCAAACTCCAAATGTCCAAGACCTTTGTTGGGTTAATGGCCCAAGCCAGGGTCCAGCCATTCACCCCTTCTTTACCAGACGTACGTCCAGTCAGGTCACTGAGCAGGCCTAGAAAGCCCATGTCCTCCAGGAGGGACGAACGTCTGCAGTAGGGGGTTGGGCTCAGCGGCCCATCCCGACGAACGTCTATGCAGGGATAAGGAGCAGGCCCACGGGTTGCCAGGATGACGACGAACGTCGTCAGAGCAAGCCCATAGCCAGCGGCGGACGCAGGAATTCCGGCCAGGAGGGGCGGCAGGGTAAAAATATACATACAAATACATATATATTAAAATTTCGAGGTAAATATACCTAGAAAAATAAAATTTTGGGGGGGGGGGGGGGCAGCAGCCCCCATTTGCCCCCATGTTCGGTCCGCCACTGCCCATAGCCATCGGAGACGGTCTAGCCCACATGGCAGGAATCCACAAAGGCCAGGGGACGAACGGCCAGTACCCCCTGGGAGGCTACCTAGAGCAATCCAGCTCGCTCCATGGACGGACGAACGTCCCTACTAATTAGGCGGGAAACCTAGATTCTGGCGGGAAGCGCATTTAATGCTGAAGATTTGGTGGTTGGGACACCAGCGAACCACAGGCTTCCACGTCAGTATAGCCACCTGCCCATTGGTGGGTATAAATAGAAGCATTTATTTCATTGTAAAG